GATTTATGCTATTAATGATCAACCATTTCCCCCATAGTTTATTACTTAGTTGAGCTAGGTTTACTGCAGCTAACTGCATGTACTAGTATGTCTCTAACATAAGACCTTACAGTTGGAAACTCTGTGCAAGAGTTTGCAGGCTGACAGCAATGGGGGTAAGTGCCATGAAGGCCCAGAGTTGCGAAGATTTTAATAACTTGGACAAGCGCTTTGCTGCCTAAGCGTGGGACCTGCATTTTGGCATAAAGGTATAGTTTCTGTATTGGATTCTGCTCATTCTGTCAATGCATAATGGGTAAAGAGGCAATTCTAGCCCACTTCAGCACAGGATGCACTAAGGCTGTTTGTTGCTTTGCTTTTAAAATAGTATTCAGCTCAGGCAAATATGCAAGCGCTGTGACAGAATCTAGTTAGCACACAATGATGCTTAGCAGCAGGCGCGCACTTAGAGCTCTCTGTCTTGTGAGCAGCAGCAGCAGCAGCATGGGCTTCGTGGTCTTTCCACAAGAGGAAAAGCCCTCTGTTGCTCTAGCAGAAATGCCCTTTTCACTGCGTGCTGCCATAGCAGACAGTTCACCCATGGCTAAGTGATCTCTCAGAAAACGCCACAAATGAGCCCAGACAAGGGTGCAGTAAAAGCTTTGCTTGAAAGCACCCAGTGGTCTAGTAACTTGGGCAGTGAGGCAAGGTGAGGACTCTAGTGGAGTTTTGGAACTATTTTATGCACCTCTGCACCTGAGTGTGTCAAGAGGATCTCTTTATTTATAAATGTAAGATCCAAAGAAAGAGAATAACACCAACATTCTTTTAAAAAAAGGAACCGCTCTATTATCATTGGTTTCAAGCTTCAGCAAAGAAACAGGGGCCCATCTTCCTAAGAGTCTGGCTTTCCTTTCTGGGTTAGAGAGATAAATAACATTTTCTGTTCATTCAGATAATGCCATATTCATTCGATCCTGTTTTATTGCTGACTGTAATATTGGCTTCATTATTGGTTATTAGTACGGTTAAGACTGAGTGACATTGATTTAGTTAAAGGCCTTTTTAATCTATTCTGATGGATATTATTTTTGCTATTTATCACAGCAACAATATAACTCCAGACTATTTAAAAGTCAGGTATGGAAGCTGATAGCAGCATGCCAGGTTTTCCCAGTGTGTAAACTGCCAGCGGTTGATGCAGAGAAGACCTGCACGCATCTCTGTAAGGTGGCTTCCCATTTTTCATGAAGATCTGCTGTCCCATTAACAGCACACACAAAATGGTAGAAATAATTAAAATCCCCTCATAAACAGAAGCAGGTTTTTTTTTATTAATGAGCATTTAGTTCAGTTGCTGTGCAATGCAACCTGTGCTTTTGCTTAGTAAACAATCAGTCATTATAGGAAATGACTGGATAGCTGTTTATAAGGAACTACATCCTCCTCATTATATAGAATCGTGCAGAGCGAAAGTGGCTATTTTGCAAATCAAGGAATTGCATGCTGGGAGCTGGAACAAATGTTCAAATATCAGCTCAGTCCTGCAGTAACTAAAAAGTGATGGACAAATCACAATGTTTCTGCTTCGAATATCCATGTAAAACACAGAAATAATAAACATTTGTCAATGGTATGAAGATTGGTCGAGCATTTAATACATATGGCTGCAATCCCAAGAATTATTGATTACTTAGAAGTAAATCTAGTTGAAAATAAGGAAATTGACTTCCAACTTAACCTAATTAGTAAGACTGTAGTCATAACCACCAGGATCCTGTGGATCTTACAGGGACTTGATTCTATGTAAGCATACTAGGATTGTGCTACCTGAATGTTAGAAAAGTAAGTGGAAATGGAAAAACTCTGCAAGGAGGCATACTTCTGTAAAAAGAACTTAGGAAGTTCGTTAGCTGGTAAGATCTCTTAACCACAAACTAAAATATAATAAACAAGGCTTTTAAAAAATCTGAACTATTTGGTTCCACTAGGCTTCTGAAACACCACTGAAAATACAGAGATTTTGGAACTACAGGTTAAGAAAATATAAAGAAGCTGCAGTTCAGTGCACTGTTACTTGGAAGTAAGCCATATTAAACTCCATGGGACATTTTTTACAGTAGATATGTATAGGTTTGTACTGTACGAGTACTGAGAGCCTATGTGCAGCAATTGATAATTCATAATACTATTTTTACAGTATCGAGTAGAGATTAGTTTTACTATTACAGTATTTAAATGCACAAATGGAACAATACTTTTTCAACTAAGCTATATTTAAAAATTGTAACCAGTGCTTTAATTTTTTACATCAGTATATTAAATGCTTGAAAAGGTGTTTTGAAATTAAGATATCATCTTCATTTTTCCATTGCTACTCAAACAAGTGTAAAGAGACAGAGAACAGCACCTGCCAAAATACACTTCTGCTTCCAATTTGCTTGAATATCGATCTTACTGGATTTCGACTAAATCAAATATACCAAAACACAATAATAATGCTATGTTAATGTTACAATTGAAATATGGTACTCCTCCACAACTTATAAGCTTATACCATCAATATACATATATGTTGTCTCCTGACAAAACCGAATGAGGTCCAGGAATTCAGGGGAGGGGCAGATGCTTTACATGTAGGGTCTCTGGTTCAACCCTGCATCCAGGTAGTACGAAAAATTCCAGCCTGAAATCCTACAGAGCTGCAGCTGGTTAGCAACCAGGACAGGACTAATGCACCCTGCTAGTCCTCTTGGCTCCTTTAGAAAACAGTTCCATGTAATGCCTGCAAACTTTGCCACCAATGTTTAGTGTTACGAAACCCTTATCAGAAAAATACCTGCAATTAATATGATTTTCTATAATGGAATTATAGGTCTTAGACCTTTTCAGAAAAATACCTGCAATTAATATGATTTTCTATAATGGAATTATAAGTCCTGGACCTTCCTAAAGCACAACTGAAGCTCAGCAGTGATGTTTTAAACCTGCCAGGAACGGCACTTACTTCCAGCTTGCTGAATCATTAAATCAACTGTCAATAATCCATGGACATTTCTTAACCAGCAGTCATTTTCATCTTTACGGCACCCATGGCATGTGTAAAGCTGATCTTGTTCAATCTGGGTGATAAACTCATTCCAGAAAAGGTATTTGTGTTGTGTTGTGTTGTGTTTACAGATTAGGGAGAAGTCTCCTGATAAGCTTCCTTTTCAATCAAGTGGCAATCCTTGCAAAAGGAATGTATTAGGAACCTCCTGGGTCAGATTATATCCATTGTATTGCTTTTTCTTCCATGTCTATCATCAATCTGTCATTCCAGTTGTTTTTACAGCACTTACCATAGACACTTTGAAAAAGAACTACTATTTCCTGTTATGACTCTTGCAATAATAATATCAAATGAGTATTAAACAGTGAGGACAAATTGGCTTTTTAATGCATGACTTTTGGCTTCTGTGCCAACATTCTAGGAGCACAATAACTTTTACTGACCATTTAAAAACACTAAGATTGGAATTCTAGCTAAAGGTAAACATTTTTAAAATATGAGGTGTAAGTATCGTAGAAAACCAGCTATATTTTTTTCAGAAATTACATCTTCCAGTCTTCTAGTTGTAAGCAACATCATACATACCTTAAGATACAAGGTAGAAAAATAAATCATCCATTAAAATCGATTCACAGCAATCTGACAGTGTTTCACAAAGTTATGCTCCCGCTTTTATTGGAACAGGTCACCAAATGTAATTGCTGATATAGAAACTATGCATTTGGAAGTAATCTTTTAGTAATGGAAAGGCATTGTGTAGTAACAGTAAGTATTATATTGTGTGTATTGTATTATTCAGTTGTTCGGTTGTTTCTCCCTCTAGATTGTGAGAATCATCAATGAAGGGTTTATTTTGTTTTATTTTACCCTCATTGGAAAGGGGTCCGTTTCAAAAAGGAAGCAGATGTGGAACGTTTAGCACTTCACTTGCTGGAGTTCGGTAGCCCTGATCTGGATCATGGCCTCACATGCTTCCTTGTGCATGAAATGTAGAGGAGTCCCTACATACTGCAGATGTAATGTGACATGCTGTTCCATTACTTGTATGTGTATCTCTCTGTGTGCGCATTTTTCTAATTCCCTAAAAATTACAAGGACGTGATTGCAAAGTGAAACGGTGCATTCTTTGTCAAGCTTTTATGTTCCCTGCAACCACAGTACCAGTCACGGTCTGGAGTTCAGTGAGCCCTAAAATCTTCCTTAGACTTGCATAGCTATCAAAATGCTTCTTCCTTCTTCTACAAAGCAGTTATTTTTAATGTTAACAGCTCTTAAACACCTTCCTAAGACTGCTAGGAGGTGTTTCAGAGAAAACACATTTGAGAACCCGCTGCCTTAAAAAACATTCGGCATGTGTGGGGCTATCTTCTGAGGAGTTGCCATTTCCCTTCAGAAGTCTTAAGTGCCTTTTCTGAAAGGCTGCTTTTTATGACTGTAATGCCGTCATTAAGTCTACTACAACTGTTTGGAAGATAAGCCACTAAGTTTCTGAACACTTGAAATGAAACAGCAGTCGATGCAATCTAAGAGGAGACATGGAAACAAATCCTTCTGGCTGCGGGCTAAAAATGCAGATGTGCGGTAGGCACAGACCAGACTGACAACACACAAAAGGCTCACATTTTGTGTTTCTGTTTTAGTTTTCACTTTGTTTTGCTTTTCTGCAGCTCCCTATTTTAGGCCTTCTATTTCTGTTTTCCCCGGGGCACATATCTGTTGACAATCTGACTTGTTTTTCATATGCATTTCATTTCTTGCATACCCAGCAACAATTACCCAATAGTCACAACAGACATTCTGATTTACACCATGCTCTCGCAGAGTCTAATTATTCAGTGGTGACTCAACAGACCTGTTGGCAGACCCGTACACCCACAGAAACAAAAATCTGCAGCATTTTCTTTCTCCCTGCATTAATTCACATTTTAGATTTGTGCTCCGTTTCTAACAAACCAATGGCAGAATTTACCTGTAGAAGGCAGTTGGTGCAGCTTCTCTCATTGCAAAGCTACTCGATTCGTTCTCAAGGTAGTAAGGGACCTGCTGGCTGGGGTGATGAATAAATGGTGAGAGCTGCGGTGCCGTCTGTAGAAACACAACAGGGCTTGGAGGCACGTTATTCAGAGAATGAAATCCTCCCAGGTTGCTGGACCCAAACGATTCTGTTGTGGGGGCATAGTTGAGGCTGGCTGAGCTGTACACCGGAGCGGCAGTGGAAAAGTCATAAGCAGCGCCTTCTGGGTAGTTGAAGACCCCAGTCTTGTTGCTGTCCACATACATGTCGCTGATCGGTCGTTCCAGAGGAATCTTCAACTGAGGTCTGCTGAGAGTCTCTAGTTCATTGCCTTGTATCTGGTGCAGCAAGGCAACACCGGAGGTTTTTGTGTGAAGGGTCATGGTCATTGTCAGCGGCAGTGAACACGTAGCATAGCTCAGTCTGATGCTCGAAGAAGAATCAGGAGCTTGCAATCCACCTGAAAAAGGAGCAGAAATCAACTGGAAACAGAACAAAAGTCATATTTTTTCCCACCCTTTGAGCAAATTATCCAGCTATGTGCACATCCGGCGAGTCCCAGCAAGTTGGGAGATAGAATCAAGCACAGAGGAAGACAAGGAACCGTGTGCCTCTCACTCCCTTTCTCTCTTTCTGACTCTAACTTTAAGTACTTTTCATCTGAGCTAATATGCTTTACAAAGGTGCTGGCACCAGGCCAGATACTCCTGCCTTGCACTGACATTGCTTGAAACACCACTTCAAAACAATTAGGTCTGGAGTTCTACCAACTAATTGTCTCAGTATTGCTAGTTTAATTTTTCACTTCACGTGGCTCTGATGGTCATGGACCACCAAAGGAGAGAAAGTAAGTTGGGCTTTCATACCACACAGAGTACTAGCCCAGAAGCCCGCTCTGTTGGGGTTGCACACCCTCACCAGGCTCCAATTTATCTCTGTTTATCTCTCTTCTCTGCTTTGTTCATCTTCATGTTTGCTAGAAATATGTCATGTGTACATTGCAATGACCCTGAGCCAGTCTACATTGTAACTGAGATATGGCAGAGCAGAGCGTGTGTTTGTGTGGGTGCGTTTATGCATATGTGCGGCTTGCCACAGACTGTCAAATTCCAGCAAGCAAAAATCAAAGGGTTTCTATATCTATGTAGGAGAAAAGGCACACCGTGATCATGGGTCCTGGTACTTTGCAACAGCATAGTACACCTTTCCTTCTCATTCTCTCTCTCTCTCTCTCTCTCTCTCTCTCTCTCTCTCTCTCTCTCTCTCTCTCTTTCTTTCTTTCAAGGTATGTTAAATCTGCATTATCCTGCCATCATGCTAATCAGCTTTGCATTTCAAAATAAAGTAAAACATAAAATGCTTAATAGGATACATGTCATTCCTCGGACCTCTTGACATTCAACTGCAAGTTCATCGCACAAGAAAAACAGAGCTAATAAATCTGGCAAAAAAAAACTATTTTCTATTCCTTTTTTTTAAAACCTCGTGTTGCATGTTTAATTTTGAAATCGATCTATGTAAAGCAAAGCTTTGAAAATCTCTGAAGTTTTAATGTGTTCAAATAAGACAGGATCGAAGACAAAACAGAATTCTTGAGTAATTAGAATATTTATACTACTCTCAAATACTGGTTAACTATATAGAAGCAATGATTATGTGGAGCCTGCACCAAGAAACCTTTCGAATTATTCCCAAGGGTAGATTGATAGATTCAATAGAGATCTATGACTCAGCAGGGCGGGGGAAAGAGTAGTCCCATATTCTAACATTTAAACATGAAGGGCCTGGGATAAACAAGCGTCAGTATGAATGTGTTTCCATGTCAGAATTAAATTAATCAAACCTAAGCTTTGATCCACAAAATGGATTGCTTAAAATACTATTTTTAACAGCTGAGACCCTGAGCGGAAGCATATGTGCATAGGATAGTATCCATAAAAATTGTTCAGAAGAAATTTTATTACCAACTATAAAAACAGGTCTCCATGTTACAACTATAGCTTAGCCTTCAGCTACAACACAGTGCACACTTCAAGAAGATACATTTGCAAGGCAGAACAAAATTACATACTTTACAGAAGCTTGCGGTATGCAGCTAAGCAACTGCATGATAACATGGCATGAGATATATTAACGTTTTTCATATCATTTTTGCAACATTTATAGCAATCATATCTAAAGTTATTAAAGAACTGTCTTGAATTTCTGAATCGATTCAAGTTTTTAACTTGCCATGACGAACCTCAATTTTAGAGTAGGAAATTTGATTAGTAATTATGGTTGTTTCGACAAGGCTGGAAAAAAGAAAGGGGGAAGAAAAGAAGGAAAAAAGAAAGATACACAAATATGAGTATAGAGAAAGATCCTAGAACAATTCTACATATATGCATCCATGTAAGCATCTAATAACAAGTGAAGTATATATTTCTGTGAATGCACATATTGACCATTTTCATGAGACAGCAGTAAACTCAGCTTATTCATCTTCTGAAATACGAAACTCAGTAGCATTGTTACATGAGCTCTAAGTTAAAGGCTGGCTAAGACATGTGGAAAGTTATTCATGCAGCCATACATTTAACCTAGCATTATATTTTTATACAGGAGACTAGCTTAAAAAGTGCAAACTGAAAGGGTCACAGACAAAGTTATGACGATTTTATACCTTATTATTCGGAAGTTGAAAATAAACTGTTATAGCAAAAGGTAACTTAGATATTCTGTAAATGTAATTTACTTTGCCCAATAATTTTCAAATGCTTGCATCAGGATTTTATTGTTTCTAAATGAAGTTACAGAAAAATGAACTTGCTAGATCTAATGGAAAAGGCAAGCTCTCACATTTAAACTGGTTTGAATCCTGGGACCAAAAGGCCATTCAGACTAAGCCCAAGACAGGCACTTTGCCCAAGGTATGACACATAGTCCAGACAAAATAATGCAGACCCAGGAGCAAACACAAAACATGGAGAACAGAAGTTCCAGACAACTAAACCAGAGATCCAAAGTGTACACAATGGGGGAAGATTTTTAAAACCAGGCACCACAACTGACACCTGAACCTAACTGAGGTAGGAGCCCTGAAACTTGCAAAGTGACCACCCTTTCAGCACCACGAATATCCCCAGCATGTGTGCAGCACCTGATTACAAACTAAGTAATTGGTGAATTCACCTTGTTGGCTCAGTTAGGAACATGTGTGGCTAGTATGAGATGCTTGTTCAGAATAAAAGCAGTTCCCCATCACACTCCCAGTGGCCCACAATGTGCTCCAATGAGCTCCTTCAGGGTTCCTATCGCCTGTCCCTGGGTCATCTCCATTTCTTCATCTTGCCACCTAGAATGCTGAAATAGCAGCATCTGAAACATAAGAAGCCCTGGAAGCATAACAGCCAGGGTGTCTGACTTCTAGTAAAAGCACTCATGCACCTTGAAAACCGCATTTCCTCAGATTTCAGCCTTATTTCTTTCTTTGTAAGATCCACAGACTGCCCAAATAGCAAATGCTCTCAAGGGGGTTTACGATTGCTCAGATGCGCAGTATTACTGGTCTGTGCGATTTCCTCCCTGCCATATTAGTGTTCTGTGTGTTAGAGAAGAGAGCTCCATATTGAAAGCTTTCAGGGTGCCAATACTGGAGCAGTTATGGGCAGGGCAAAGGACAACACTGGGACAAAATGTTTTTGGAGACAGAACCGAACTTTAGTGAAGTTTGGGTGCACCTTAAGAAACCTCAAGGGTGTAAGGGCTCTTCAATGCATCATGATGAGTCCCCAGATCTCACACAGTGACAAGTTAAAACACTTGGTAATACATGTAAATGTGGGTGAAAACATCAACACAATCTGAACTCGTGTGGTTGCTCCCCAAAACAGTCATTATGTACAGAGAACAAGTCAACACTCGATCATCTGGGCATTGGGATCGATGAGTTTCCTGCCCCACATTGCTACTTGCAACGCTGGACTTTGAAATTCTCAAACTACTTTCCCATGTGCAGTTTTAAGTTCCTGGCATCCTCCCCACTTTTTATTGCTACCACTGGGGGAGCAGGTTGGCTGGTGTACGAGCAGAGAAGAAGACAAGTGTTCCCAAGCAAGCCAGAGCAGGAGGCCTCTATCCTCCCTGTTCAGTTCTCCTGCCTGCTCACCTGCTCAGCTCAAGGCCAGGATGGACTCCCTGAGTTGTAGCAGGCAGGCAGGAAGGCAGCAAGGGATGGGCAGGATAAAATCTGGAAGACAGGCCCATGATGAAGTGAGGCTGAATGCTGGCAAGCCACTCAAGAGGAGTGTTTTTACTGCCATGCACAAATGCCCACTGGAAATCCTTTCCTCGATTCATGTTCAGGGAAATGTCACCAACCATTTCACCAGATTTTTCCAGGGAGAAGAGAAGTCCTCAATAGTTTCTCACAGGTAGGGCTGCCCATGGACAGCAGTGGTAGCCCAGCTGCTTTCTTTCTCCAGAAGAGTTTTTGGAGCCTTTGAGCTGCCACAGCAAGTGGGAGCAGCACTATTGGTTTTGGCAGGCTGACCTCCCATTTTGCATTCACCACAATGGGGCAGCACTGAGTGGGGATGCTCTAGAAGCCTGGGCCTATGAAATGGTCCTCCACTTTCATTAAGATTTTCCTCTACATGGAAAGAGACTTTCTGCTTTTCTGTTTCTTTCTCAGAATGCTTTAGAATTTATTTTGGTGGTGTTATATAATAACTGTGAGGTGGCTGAAAGTACTGTGTTTATTCTATTACATATCATTAAATTGCTTTGCAGCCTCACAGGCGGCTGGTGCTTCCTAGTTTGAGAAAGCCCCGGTGGGAGGATTACTTCATGCCCTGAATTTTCACTGCGGCGTTAAAAGCTGAGAAGGCTACGGCTGCTGGAGAGGTGGTTATATAGTGAAAAATGGGACACTTGTTCACACCTCCTAACCAAGGAAAGCACCAGGAAATCAAACCCAGTCCATTAAATGTCTCAGAAATTTGCTTCACAGTTAAATTTGTTCTTGAGAACAATCTCTTTTCTATAAAATTGAATGAGGAAGGTCAAAAAAGGGGGAAAAACTGTGGGAGACATTTCCAGCGGAGAGGTAGTTTACAGAACTCCATGGCACCAGAATAGTCCCTTGAAGTTGGCTGACTCTCTTGGCCAAGATGAGCATGGCCTGAATGATACAAGCTGAGCTGGAATAGTCCTCCTCTGGGCCATGGCTCCACCGTGCCAGGAATCAGTTCAATTACAGCAGTTCCTGGCTCTCGGTAGTTGGCTATGGGTGGCTCTACTCATCTTCATCCCAGATTGTGGCAAAAGATGCTACAGAGGGAATCGTAAGAAAGCGTGGCTAAGTGAGACCCGATCTCCTAAACTACTTTTCAAGCCAATCCTCCTCAAAACCTCATTCGTTCCACTAAAGGCAAGGAAGCCAGAAAAGGCTAGAGCAGAAATCCCTTCCCACAAACA